GCCATCTCCTTCTCTGCACCAGTTGAGCCCATCCCCACCACCAGGAAGCCTTCAGACCCCTCCCACCACACCTCAGAGCCCCTCACCGTGAGCTGCTTGGTGGACACTCCACTCTCCAATGCGGCCCGGTTCATGGCCCGCAGGGTCTCAAAGTCAGGAGCCTCGATGAATACGACGTAAGGGACAAACTCAGCTGTCCTCAGCACCTTCACTGCCTGCAGAAGAAGAAGAAGGTGGGGAGAATATCCCCACATGCGTCCTGGTAACAGGAAGGGTTTCCAGGGTGACTAGGGGTGGGCACCTGAGAACGGGCAAGAAAGGAGGTCATGGGGTTCTGTCAGCAGGCTGGGAAGGAGCAGGCCAGGCGGTACCTGGGGGTTGACATCCAGCACGCACACCTTGCCGGTGGCGACCACCCCCTGGATGGAGTCGATTCGTGTGCCATACAGGTTGCCCTCATACTCTCCATGTTCCAGGTAACGCCCTGCACGGATGTCGGCTTCCATTTCCCCGCGGGACACAAAACTGTAGCCCTGGCCTTCCCGCTCTGAGTCCTTAGGCCTTCGGGATGTGTCTGGGTGGGGAGGAAGGGCTGAATGGGCACAGGCAGGCCACACCACCTCAGACACACAATGCACACGGAGAAACCCTCACTACAACTTCCCACACAAACATACACACAGGACCTTCAGAGAGCACCTAGTCCAACCTAGTGCTCACAGCTGGAGCCCAGAAAGGGCAATGTGCAACACAAAGACACACCACAAGGGCCAAACAGACCTGCAGTCAGTACTGTCCTTGCCTCTGGGAGCCTGCAGCTTTCAACAACCCCCACCACACCGGTTATGTATTAGGAAACCCTCCTGCCACAGGCCACACACAGCTCAGATCCCTGTTTCACGGGGCTGGACACTCACGTTTTTCCCCCACAATTTTTAGCAAGGGAAAGAGTTGGTCGGACACCTTTCTCAGCTCTCCTGAATTGCAGTTCCCCTTATCCACCCACAGAGGGCGCACACCCTACAGCTCACACCCAGAGGTACCACCTGTCCTGGTGCTGATGAACTTTGGTCCCAGGTGGGACCCCCAGCACAGCCCCTGCTCCTGACGCTCACCCAGCAGGGCCCAGCTCCTACTCACAGGGCACTGTGGTACCATAGCGATCTGGATCCCACATGATGAGCTTGTTCTTCAGGCTGCGCCGGCCCACACCCTGAGCCCCAATCAGCACCAGGGTTTTCCGGCGGAACGGGGGCATACGGGCCACCTCCTCATAAATGAGCAGCTCGTGGCGGTCAAACTCTGGACAGAGGGAGATGGCACTGCTCAACAGGTTGCATCATGGGGCAGGCAGGGACAGAGCTCTCGGAGGTCAAGGATAAAAGAGCTCTGGACAAGGGAAGAAAGGGTGAACCAGGCAGGGCCCAGGGACAGGTGGGCAGCGTCTGAGCCAAAACATATTTACAAGTCCCTGGGGGATTTGTCATGTTCGAGGAGGACAAGGAGGGGGACACTGATACCCACCTGCATTCTTGGTGGTCAAATACATCATTCGCTTCTTTTTCTTTCCTGAAAGGCTGCCGCACAGGGTCCCTGGCCAAGGGAGATGGGTGAGTAAGGCAGGCAGGACCATAATGGGGCTCTAGGAGGATGGGGGAGCTCCTACCTGAGGTGGGTGTCAGCTCCAGGTCCCGCTTGACAAACGCTTTCCGCTTCTCCTCCAGCAGCTGGCTGGGGATGAGGCCGGCACTGCCCCCTTCCACGTGGCATGCCTGAAATGGACGTGAGCCAACGACCTGTCTGAGCCAGAGGGACCCCCTCTGTGCCCTCACCTCCTCCCCACACACCATACCTGGAGACACTGCAGGAGCGCCCGCGGCTCACCTGCCACCAGTTGGCGTCGTCCTGGTTTACGATCTGAAGCAAATCCCCAGCATTGAAACGAAGGCCTGCCTCCTTGCAGGGGATGAGGCTGTCTCGGGCCGGGTCATAGTCAAAGTGGCATTTCACAAATACCTGGGCCCCGGGAATGGGTGAAGGGTCAAAGGAAGGAGCCAGGAAAGGCTCTGTTGGCATGGGTATAGGACATGTCTACCCCCCTCCCTTCACAAAAACCCGAGAGGCTGGCATTGCCCCCCAGAGGAGCCATGCCTCCAGGCCTGCCTGGCTGTTCTCCTGGTCCACACCTCTCCTCACATCTAGAACTAAGGCTCAGATTAAGGAATGCGGAAACTGCTCGGGCAGGCCTTCAGACTGAGGAGGCAGGATCACCAGAACAGAAGACCCAGGCTCCTAACCCTGCATCCACCCCTCCTCCTTGGAGGAGAGGGCTCTGGCTGACAGAGGTAGAGGACTGACAGGGGACCTGGGCAGAGCAGACAGATCTTCACACTCTGCCAACCAGGAAGCAATTGTCCAGGACCCAAGCCTTACACAATATTGTGCACCAGACGCAGGCGCTCACTTGTACACTCAGGTATCCGAACTGTAGATGCACAGTCTGCTGCACATGCGCGGAGTGCCTAAGCATAATGTCTGTAAACCCATGAGCTCATGCACATGCACAACACACAGAGGCTCCACATGGATGGCACGCAGGTCCCACTGTCTATTTTGCCTCAAAACAGGTTGGAGAGGAGAAACTGCATCCCTGAAAGCTGGGGGGGCGGGGATCACTTGGAAAAGACCCAGCCACCCCTTGGGTCTTTTGTGGGTTGGGGTGTTAGGCAGACGGGCCCACCTGGCGGGGTAGATGGGGCTCCTGGTAACTGGGCAGAATCTTGAGGATGACACTGCCGCTGGCGCTGCGGAGAAGCTCCTGTAGTGCGCGGGGGTCACTGCCCACCGGCTGCCCATTCACCTCCTTGATTATGTCACCCACATGCAGCAGGCCTTGTTGGGCCACCATGCCCCCGTGCAGAATGCGAGCGATCACCAACTCGCCACCTTCCACACGGAATGTCACGCCCTGTGGGACAGAGGGTGTGTATGATAAGGCTCCCCCTGCTCTGAGTCAGAATATTCAAATGGGTCTCCTGATGGGCCTTCCACTGCTGGCTCTACCCGCCCACCCGCCTTCACAGTCCTCTCCTATCCTTCTGTTCACTTATCAAAGGCACTGACACAGTCCACCAGGGGCCTACGCACAGGGTCTGTGGCTCCTGGGTCTACGAGGTCCTTTCTGGGCAAAGCTGAGCCCATCTTCCTCTTCAGCCCTCACCTGCCCTTTCTTTTCCCCCACTAGTTATTCTGAATCCCTGCCCCACCAGACCCGCCTGGGGCCCACCCTGTCACCCTTACCAGATGCTCTCCTGCAGTCTTGCGGATGCCCACCATACGCACGGCATCAGGAGGGACCGGCTGGTTGCTGAACGTAGGGTCCAAGCCAGGGCTGGGAGGTGGTGTCTCATAGGTCTTTGAGGCTACTGAGTCATGCGTCTCCAGGAGGGACTGGAGATGTGATGGGAAGAGGAAGGACAATGGGGCAAAGCCCTGTGGTCCCTTCCCATCCCAGTTCCAACTTCCTGCCAGTTCCCTTCCCAGGGGCACGCCCTATTTGACACCCTCCTAGTCCACCACTAGCCCCAGCAGCCAGAAACCTGGAAGTGGGGCTCCTGAAGGATGCGGGCCAGCTCTGCGGCTGTGCTGCTCTGCTCTGCCAGCTGCGCCAGGTCCCGCAGGATCTCCTGAACCAGCTCCAGGTTGTTGTCCCTCACGGCTTCCAGCTTTGTCTCCTCCAACCTCTCATGGGCCTAGGGGTGAGGACAAAAACACGTGAGACTGACCATTTCCCCAGAAGCCTTGGGGTGCCAAGCAGTACCCCCCAACCCTAGGTTCCAGGCTCCAGTCCCTTCCCAGCTACTAGCCCCAAATCCTGGCTTAGCCTGAGAGATCAACTCCAGCTCCTCCTGCACAGCTCCACACAGCACACTTGGCACACGTGCATTTCCTGCTTTCTTCTTTCTCCTCCCAGATGTTGAGGGCTCAATTTAGGGGACGGAGAATCTGCAGGACAAACTTTTATTCCATTCCCTTGACACAAAGTGTCATCAAAAATCATGACACTGTCCCCATCTCCCAAGACCCTACAGGTGTTTGAGTTCAAGGATCACTTCTTGGGAGAGACCTTGGAGACCCTGGAGCCCAGGTGAGGAAGATAAGGATATAGATTAACATCCCCAAGATCCCTGGGACTTGAACTTGGGTTTCCAGTGCTCCTAATGAGGGAGGAGACAAGAAATCAGTCCATGGTGCCAGGTGAGGGCCTTGCACCTGCTTGCCGCTCTACGGACTCTGGGCTCCACGACAAGGTGCTCTGAAAAGAGAATAGGAAGCCTTCCCCAGTGACCAGCCAGTGAGGGGAGTTGTGTTGAGTGGGTTGGGGACAAAGTAGGTCCATTTTTGACATACATATGAAGGCCATTTTTCTATTCTGATTCATTTGAACACTAGTTGAAGTCACTTCATCTCAAAGCACTTCCTCATGCACTTCTCAAAACCAAAACATTCTGCTCCATAAACCACGATGGCATTTCCACACAAAGACATTCTATCATTGATACATTGACAAAACATTATCTAATAGACAGTCCATATTCAGTGTTCACTGTTGTCCCCTTATGATTTTATTTTTTTCTGATCCAGGATCCAATCAAGGATCATGTGTTGAATATCTTTTTATTCTTCTTTAATTTATCAATTGATTGATTGATTGATTGATTGATTGATTGATTGACTGTGGTACCAAGGATTGAACCCAGGGTCTCTTAACCACTGAGCTACATCCCCAGTTCTTTTTTTTAATGTTTTATTTTGAGACAGGGTCTCACTATGTCCTTAGGGCCTCACTACGTTGCTGAAGCTGGTCTTGAACTTGCAATCCTCCTGCCCTAGCCTCCCGAGTCACTGGTATTACAGACATGTGCCACTATAGTCAGCTCTCCTTGAATCTAGAACAAATTCCAATTTGTTAGATTTTCGGGACATTTTTAAAAAGTCTGGGCCAGTAGTTTGTAGACTGTTCCACAACTGAAGTTCTTCTGATTTTTTTCCTCATGATTCGCGTTAAGGTAATCATTTTAGTAAGAGTTCTATAGAGGTGACCTTGTCTCTCCCATACCTGGAAACCAACAATCCCTCACTAGCGAATTAAGCCTCCATTTAAGATCCTTTCCTGACTCAATTATCCTACTATGAGTTGCAAAATTGTGATCACCTAACTCCATCACCCATCCACATTAATTAATTGTTATTCTACTATAAGAAAGTGCTCTTCCTTCTCCCCCCTCCCCACCTCTTTCTCCATCCCTCTGAGTTATTGTACATTCTTTTTCTCAGTGTTCTAGCCCATTACCTCCACATCTTCACTGGCTTAATTCATCCCAAATTTGTCCAGGAGGGGGAGCCCCATACACACCTGCATCCCATGGACAGGTGCCCATCAGTCCTTGAGCCCCTTCTTCCCTTCTGGGCACAGCTCACTTTATACTTTCCCTTTCCCAGGTCTGGAATCATTACTTTCTCCAAGGTAGATTGACAGGAAATGGAATTCAGAAAGAGGTACTCGCTGCTTCTGGGACACTGTTTCTTTGGCAGACATTAGCTGATACTGATAGCTTCGATTAAAATCAAACTCTACAGGATTTCTCTCATTTTCCCCCAATCCATTTGCATCTCCTTTCTCCTTCAGTGTCAACGTATTTCAATAACACCCATCCATTTACTTAATTGTTCTGTCCTTCAAAATTCAAGAAAGTTTCAGAATTGCCTATCACAAATCTACTCAGTAAAAATCAAGATTTACCTGCAGTTTTCTTTGTCCTCAGAATACCACTAAGTTACACTAAGAGAAATGTTCTAGATCTCTGCTGTCCACTTGTGGCTAGGGAACATTTGAAATGTGGCTGCTATAACTGAGGAACTAAAAGTTTTATTTAGGCATGTTAGTTTATTTAAGTATTATCTTAGTTAATTTTTCTTCTATAACAAAAAAAAACGCCTGATGCTTAGTAATTTATGAATGATAGAAATTTATTTCTTACGGTTCTGGAGACTGGGAAATCCAAGTCAAGGTCAAAGTGCTGGAATTTGATGTCTGGTGAGGGAATTCTCACATATACTCACATGGCAGAAGGTGGAAGGGCAAAAGGACCTAGTTAATACCCTCCAGCCCTTTTACAAGGCAGCTAATACCACTCATGAATGATATTAGGTGGTTGTAACTCAACCACCTCCTAATGACCTCACCTCCTGATACCATTGCATTGAGGATAAAATTTCAACATGAATTTTGGAGGGGACACAAACATTGAAATCTTAGCAAGCATTTAAAATATTTGAATAGTCACACATAGCTACTGGCTACTCTATTAAATACCACTACAGCCTTAGAATATATCCCACTCATCGTGTACATCAGAACACTGTGGACAAGGTTACTTAAATTAATTCCTTTTTCTTTTCTTTTTTTAAATTTATTTGTTCTTTCTAGACATACATGACTCCTTTTCCTTTTTCTGTTTGATTAGCACAATGTAATATACAGATATGTATACTTATCTGAACCTAATTTTAGAGTTTGCTTTTATCATTTTTAATATATAATTTTATTTTCTAAACATATATAGCATATACAGGGTTCAAATTTCAAATCCATATTAAAAGTAAACTCAAAGAAGTAGCAATTCCATCCTTGGCCCCTTTTCCCCATTCACCCTCAAACTCTAGAGGTAATCTTTTTGGGTTTTTTTTTGTTTGTTTGTTTTGGGGGGTGGGTACCAGGGATTGAACTCAGGGGCACTTGACCACTGAGCCACATCCCCAGCCCTATTTTGTATTTCATTTAGAGACAGGGTGTCACTGAGTTGCTTAGCACCCCACTTTTGCCGAGGCTGCCTTTGAACTCTCAATCCTCCTCCAGCCTCCTAAGCTGCTGGGATTACAGAAGTGGGTCACCATGCCCAGCAAAGTAATCATTTTCATTTCTTTATTATTTATTTATTCTGTTTCTTTTTTCTTTTTTTTTTTACATAAAAGGTAGAACACTGTATACACTCGTTAATATCATGTGGCTTTGGTTGTTTGGTTGTTTAATTTATTTAGATTGTTGTCTGGTTTTTTATTTAATAATGTGAGCTAGAAATCATGCCACAGCACTACATGGGGTGGGGTGGGGGCAGATTCCTCTATTATTACTATTACTTTGATCCTGGGGACTTGCCACTGAGCCATGTCCCATTTTTTATTTTTTGAGACAAAGTCTCACTGAGTTGCTTAGGGCCTCTATAAGTTGCTGAGGCTAATCTTTAACTTGCAATGCTCCTGCTTCAACCTCCCAAGTTATTGGGATTACAGGCGTGTGCTACCACACCCAGCTTATTTTTATTAATTATTGTATTTGACTCTGTTGTATGACTGGAGTCCTACAATATATTCAACCAGTCTCTATGAGTATTTAGGTTGCTCCCAATCTTTTAAAAAATATTTTTAAGTGGAATGGACATGTGGTGCTGAGAATTGAACCCAGGGACTCACACATGCTAGGCAAGTGCTCTACCACTGAGCCACAACCCCAGCCTACTCCTAATATTTTTCTATTGCAAATCATGCTGTGGTGTGTAACAGTGGCATGGTGCTCTGTACCTGTGGAGAAGATCTTCCACGTAAATTACTAGAAGTCTCCCTGGATCAAGCAATAAATATATGTGCAGTTTTCTTAGATACTGACAAATTCCCCTCTGATTTTCCCTCCCACCAGCATTGTTTGGGAGATTTTCCTGCAGCTCACCATCAGTGCTGATCAAACCTTTGAATGCCTGCCAGTCACATGGATGAGAAATGATCTCTCAGTGGGGTTCAATTTGCATTTTGCTTGTTACGAGGGAAGCCGAGCATCTCTTCATATGTTTAAGGACCATCTGTACATCTTTTTCTGTGAACTGTCTGTTTGTGTCTTTTGCCAATTTTTCTATTTGGTTTTTTCTTCTTCTCATTTTAAAATGTTCTCTCTATATTGAGAAGATTAGCCCTTTATTTGTGCACATCATTTCCCCCAGCTTCTCTTTTGTCTTTTGACTCTGCTTATGGTGTTTTTGCCATGCTAAAAAAAATCTTTTTTTCTTTAAAAAATAGCTTTACGTGGTTGAATTTATTAACCTTTAAAGCTTCTGAATTTCTACACATAGTTTTTAAAGGTGGGGGATGTTTTCCTTATATACAGAATTATATTTTCTTCTAGGACACATATTTTCCCATTTAGATCCCTGATCCACTTGGAGTTTATTCTGATGAATGGTGTGAGGTATGGATCCACTTTGGTATCTTTCAAAACGACTATCCACATGTGCCAAAACCATTTGTTAAAAATCCAGAAGAAAATCACTGTTGAGTGTTCTAGATGTAATAATGGTAGTGTGACTTTTTAAAAAGAATTCTTATTTTTTATTCAGACACTAAAATATTTATAGATAAAATAATATTATATTTGAGAGGGAGGGCTTCAATGAAATGAGATTGTCTGTGAGTTGCTAAATGCTAAAGTGGGGTAATGAATGATGGGGGTTCAGGATACATTTTTGAAATTTACCATAATGTTTTTTTAAGCCCATGAGACAGAGAGTTTTCTGGGGTTTGTTTGATGTTTTTTTGTTTTGTTTTTTGGAGATAGGGTCTGGCCATGTTGCCCAATCTGGCCTGGAACTCTTGGGCCCCAGAGATCTTCCTGCCTCAGCTTTCCCAGTAGCTAGGGCTACAG